CTCTCTCTCTCTCTCTCACACACACACACACACACACACACACACACACACACACACACACACACACACACACACACAATCAGTTTTATGTATGTTTGTCGTTTGTTGTTGAGTGAGCACGTTTAAGAAGTGCTAAACAGTGTCCTTCGGGACATCCATTGAAATTGGAACGATACAGAAATGATTAGCGTGGCCCCTGCGCAAGGATGACATGGATAAATCGAGAAATGGTCTACTCCGTGATGTCTGTGTGAAGCATGTGGTCTATGGGTGATGACAGACGTCCATTGGAGTGACTCCCTTACTCAGCGGGTGCTGGGAACCAGAAATCTGAGGGTTTCACCCGTGATGTGAGTGGGCGATGTGCCGTTTTGCTCCGCGTTGGATGTGTATACTGCCTCGTCTGCGGTCCACTGCTGCCTTGGTGCCCACCTCGCTTGCTTCGTGTGTCCTACTTAGATGTGTAGGCTGGCCCGTCTGCGCTGCACTGCCGCCTTGCTGCCCTCGCTTGCTCCATGTGTCTTACTTGGATGTCTAGACTGCCTCGTTGTGCTCCGCTGCTGCCTTGCTGCCCTTCTCGCTTGCTCCGTGTGGTGCAATACACAGCAGCTTGCCAAGCTCCTGTGTTCAGTTAGAGATATGGTTGTGGTGTTGGTGTTGCCCTGTGCTTCGCTGCGCTAGTACCTTGCTGCCCATCTGTGTGTCGTGCCTTCTGCGTTCCTTGCTTGTGTGCTGTGACGTGTGGCTAATGTGTTGGTGTTGCCTCGTGCTTCGCTGTGCAGTTGCGGGGCTGCTCGTCCACTTGCCATGTCATTCCTTGCAGTTGCTTTTGACGGTGTGCAGTTGTGCTGCCTCGGCAGCATTGCCTGGTGCTTCACTGAGTTGCTGCCGGCTGCTATGTTCCGCCTGGGGACAGTCTGCCTTCAACATGTGTCAAAGGGTTCATGACCAAAACCAATAATGCGGAGATTCCACAGATTGTCGAGGGTTCAGCCTCCTGACAAGTCGGTGCAATTCCAACGAAGTAATCTGTCATCATCAGTTTTTTTTTTTTGTTTCTCCAGTTTTCTTGGTTTCAGTACTTGCCTTGTCCGCTGGTTGTTGTCGTTTCCCTGCCGTCTGTGCTTGTGTGTTGTCTTCCCTCCCACCTCCCCCGTGCCCTCCAACCTTGTCATTTCCCTGCCTTCTGTACTTATGCACTGTCTGCCCTCCAACCTATGTGTTGTCTTCATCTTTTTTTGCTTCCCCCATGTGCCCTTCAGTCCATGCGCCTTGTTCTGCCCACGTGTTTCAACGTTGGATCTTGTCCTGCATAGCGTAGTGTTCAGTGTTTGCGTTTGGTACGTGGCTTCTCTGGTGGTTGTTGTCGTCTGCCTGCATTGTGTGCCTGTGTGCCTGTGTGCCTGTGCGTTGTCTCTGCATAGCGGGAATGGTCCCGTCCCATCCCATCCCGTCCCGTCCCGTCCTATCCCGCCCGTCCCGTCCCGTCCCATCCCCATCCCATTGAATTTCCCCCCCTTCTCTCAATGAAAATTACCTCCTCGCAACACACACACACACACACACAAAATCAGTTTTATGTATGTCTGTCTTTCTCTTTTGTTTTTCTTCTCTTTTTTTTTTTTCTTTCTTTTTTAAACAGAACCGTACGGTTCTGGCTCCTTTTCCATTCTGGGGAGCATTGGTCCAGTTCCTATTCCACCGGCTCACGAAAAGAAATACATACAGGCCTCGCACACACTCTTCCCCTTCAAGGTAGGAAAGCCCGAGGGACGGCATTGATTACTTCTTGTTAGAAGGATTTACCACCCCCCAACTGTGCCTAAGTTATCCTGATTACTTTTTTTTTGAACCTAAGACATGGAAATGAAACCAGTAGGGGTTTAGATGCGACCCTGTAGACTTGCTTACGGGAGGTCGCGTCTAACCTGCTCCTCTTCAGTACTTAGACTGTCAGATTTTCACTATTAATACGAGAACTGTAGATGTGGTCCTCCTCTTTAGGACAAGATAAACCCTAAACCCTTTCCGGTCTAGTTGATATTGCCTATGAATACGCTTAACTTGTATCCTCTCTATAATATTGTCTTTCCTTTTCTATGAACTCTACCTGGTGCTAAAACTTAAACCCGAGGGGTTTTAGCTGTCCTGCTTACCTTTACTTGAAAACCCTTCTTATGGACTTCATCTCGTAACCCACATTATTCGGACTTATTCCTATATTAGC